GAGAGAGAGAGAGAGATTTATCTCTTGACGTTATAAAATCGTTATATCACAATGGCAGACGGTATCCAGATTATAAAGTCCACATATGTTTACGACAAATATTTACGTATTTGTGATATGTGTACTGTATAAATTATTATCCATGTAATATTAAAAAATATTTTACGTAAATTGCAAATATGAGTGATATATATACACACACACATAGAATTTTTTGAAACAAAGTGAGACGACTGGCAATAATTCGAGCTTTCTCTGCATATCCAATTCGTAATATCACGAATAACGCTATTGTTATTATTGATAGATTAAAATAACTGAAGCTGATAAAACCAACGCACGGAATTTTGATGAATAAGACGAGGAGTTGCGACTTAAGTTGAATGAGAATCGGAAACTTCGCTTCTCTATCCTCGTCAGATTAGTAGTCCGCTCTAACGGGCTTCGCTTCAGTCTAAAGAAAAGATCGCTACGGGCTTCCGAGGCATGGATAAACACGAAGCTTCGACAGCACTTTGAAGACGATTATCGAATGCAGAACAATGACCTGTCTTCGAGTTGCTCCTTCCTGACGGAGCTGAAACTGGCGGAGCAAACACTTTATTCCACTAAACGGTGCACGGATCTCGTAGTTGCCGCTTTTAGCAGTTCTCCGATTTCAAATTTAACGTCGTTAAAGTGATTAGAAGTTAGCAAGTATGCAGTGCCGATGCGTTAACATATCTAACTTTTGCAAGAAGAAAATGTTTGGTGCCAAATTGCTCAACAAGTAACAACATAAAAACGATTAAGATCGAATCAGACAGTTGTCAGAATAAAAAAAAAAATTACATTCGTAAAACACATAAATAAAATAATAACAGTTAAATATAATCAAACTATCTTTCTCTTAAATACATGCCGTGTTATTCGTTGCACAAGACTTAACAATTAATTTCACTCGCGAAGAACTAGATCGTGGCAGACGTACTTAAGACGCATTTCGCGTAATTAACTATTAAAATTCAGTTTAAAGAAGGAAAAAAAAACAGACTCGGGGGAGTTTCCGCGATCGTTACCTTCCCGTTTCTTACGGCGAGGTATCACTCTTCTGGGAAGATAAAACACTTCTCGCGGGCCGTTCGAATGCAGTTCGAATTCGTGGAGGAGCCTGCCTACAGTATAAATATCGAAAATGGTGGAACGCCCCGGAGTCGTGATAAACGGCTCGAAATTTCTCCAAGTCCCTCTCTTTCTCTTCTAGGAATCCGGTGAGGCCTCCTCCGCTCTACCAAAGCGTGAAGCTACACGATCGACCATGACAGAAAAGTTCGTGTGAGCGCGCGGCTTCTAGAGCGGTGGCACATACACAAACGTACGCACGTACACATATGCACCCAGCAAGTGACTACGAAAATTCGATGCCCGAGGGACTAGCTGAGTTAAAGGCACCGAGAGTACCATAAATCCGTTTAAATTGCAACGACGAC